CTTACCAAGTATGTTCCCACTGAACCAGCCTGTCCAATTCACCCTGCAGCCTCTGCATCCTCCTCACAGCACACACTGCCACCCAGCTTAGTGTCATCTGCAAATTTGGAGATATTTCATTCAATTCCTTCATCCAAATTGTTAATGTGTATTGTGAACAGCTGGAGTCCCAGCATTGAACCCTATAATTCCCCACTCATCACTGCCTGCTATTCTGAAAAGGAACCGTTTATTCCAACTCTCTGCTTCCTTTCTGCCAACCTGTTCTCTGTCCACATTAATACATTACCTTTGATACCATGAGCTTTAATTTTGCTTACTAATCTCTTGTGTGGGACTTTTCAAAAGCCTTTTGGAAGTCCAGATACGCAACATCCACTGATTCACCTGTGTCCACTGCACTGGTCACATCCTCAAAAAAATTCCAGAAAATTTGTCAAGCATGATTTCCCTTTCGTGAATTTTTGCTGACTTGGACCGATCCTGTCACCACTTTCCAAATGCTCAGTTACTACATCCTTAATAATTGATTCCAGCACTTGCCTCACCAATGTCAGGCTAACCGGCCTATAATTGTCCATTTTCTCTCCCTCCTTTTTTTAAAAATGTGGGGTCACCTTAACTACCCTCCATTGGAACTCTTCCAGGATCTATAGAATGCTGGGAAATGATCACCAATGCGTCCACTATTTCTAGGGCCACTTCCTTAAGCATTCTGGGATGCAGAGCATCAGGCTCTGGGGACATATCAGGTTTTAATCCCATCAATTTCCCCAATACCATTTCCTGACTAATAAGGATTTCCTTTGGTTCCTCCTCTATGCTTGACCCTCTGTCCCCTAGCATTTCCAAAAGGTTATTTGTGCCCTCCTTAGTGAAGACAGATCCAAAGTATTTGTCCAATTGGTCTGCCATCTCAGTAAAAACGGAAATAACTGAGGATGCTATAAATCAGGAGCAAAAAAAAAGTTGCTGGAAAGGCTCACCAGGTCTGGCAGCATCTGTGAAGGAATAAAGAGTTAACGTTTTGGGTCTAGTGACCCTTCTTCACTAGACCCGAAACGTTAACTCTTTTTTTCCCTTCACAGAAGCTGCCAGACCTGCCGAGCTTTTCCAGCAGCTTTGTTTTTGTTCTTGGTCTGCCATCTCTTTGTTGTTCATCATAAATTCACCTGATTCTAATTGTAAGGGACCTACATTTGTCTTCATGTATCTATAGAAGCTTTTGCAGCCAGTTTTTATGCTTTCTGCAAGCTTACAGTCTCATTTTGTTTTCCTCTTCCAAATTAAACCCTTTGTCCTCCTCTGCGGAATTTTAAATTTCTCCCAGTCCTCTAGTTTGCTGCTTTTTCTGGCCAATTTATATGCCTCCTCTTTAACGTTATCCCTGAATTCTCTTGTGTACCATGGTTGAGCCACCTTCCCTGTTTTATTCGTATGCCAGACAAGGATGTACAATTGTTGAAGTTCATTCTTGTGTTCTTTAAATGTCTGCCATTGCTTATCCACCATCAACCCCTTAAGTATCCTTGGCTAGCTTATCATAGCCAGTGCATGTCTCATACAACCAAAGTTAGCTTTCTTTAAGTTCAAGACTCTTTAGTCGCAGATTTAGTTGTGTCACTCTCCATCTTAATGAAGAATTCTACCATATTATGGTCAATCTTCCCCAAAGGATCTCTCACGGCAAGGTTGCTGATTAATCCTCTCTTATTACATAATACCCAGTTTAGGATGGCCTGCTATCTAGTTGGTTCCTTAACATATTGGTTGAAGAAACCATCCCTCAAACATTCCAGGAAACCCCTCCTCCATTGCATTGCTACCAGTTTGGTTAGTCAATCAATATGCAGATTGAAGTCACCCATAATAACTGCAGCACCCTTACTGCATGCATCCCTAGTTTCCTGTTTGATGCCATCCCCAATCTAATGTTTTGTGGTCTGCACACAACTCCCACGAACACTTTATTCCCCTTTGGTGCCCCGCAGCTCCACCCAGGCAGATTCCACATTATCCAAGCTATTGTCCTTCCTTACTATTGTATTAATCTTCTCCTTAACCAATAACTTTACCTACCTCCCTTTCCTTTCTGTCTATCCTTCCTGAAAATTGAATACCCCTGAATGTTGAGTTCCCATCCTTAGTTACCCTGGAGCCAGGTCTCCATGATCCTAATTACATCATAGTCATTAATAACTGTCTGCGCAGTTAATTTGTCCACCTTAGTACAAATGCTCCTTGCATTGAGACAGAGAGCCCTTCCAGCTTGTCTTTTTGACATTTATTGCCCTTTTGAAATAATGAAGTGATATGGCCCTTCTTTTGATTTTTGTCTACGGGTTTCTCTGCTTTCCACTTTCACTTTTCCCCTTACTGCCTTTTGTTTGTATCCCCTCTTTACTTCTCTCTGACTTCCTGCATTGGTTGCCATCCCTCTGCTATATTAGTTTAAACCCTCCCCAATAGCAATAGCAAATACTCCCTCCAGGCCATTGGTTTCAGTCCTGCTTAGGTGCAAACTGTCCAATTTGTACTGATCCTACCTCCCCCAAAACCAGTTCCAATGTCCCAGGAATTTGAATCCCTCCCTCCTGCACCATCCCTCAAGCCACGTATTCATTTTAGCTATCCTGTCATTCCTACTCCGGCTAGCAGATGGCACTGATAGCAATCCCAAGATTATTACCTTCGAAGTCCTACTTTTAAATTTAATTCCTAACTCCCTAAATTTGTAGGACGTAATCCCATTTTTTTACTTATATCGTTGGTGCCTATAAACACCACAACAGCTGGCTTTTCACCCTGCCCCCCTCCAGAATGTCCTCCAGCTGCTCTGAGACATCCTTGACCCCTTGCACCAGGGAGGCACCATACCATCCTGACTCTTGTTTGCGGCCACAGAGACATTTACAGTTGAAACCTCTATCACTATAGCTCTGCTACTCTTTCCTGCCTTTCTGTGCAGTGGAGCCAGCCTCAGTACCATGAATCCGGCTGCTGCTGCCTTCCCCGAGTGAACCATCTCCCCCAACAGCATCCAAAATGGTATATCTGTTTTGGAGGGAGATAACCACAGGAAACCCCTGCACTGCCTTCCTACTCTTCCTCGTTCTGGTGGTCATCCATTCCCTATGTTCCTCAGTAATTTTTATCTGCAGTGTGACCAACTTATTGAACGTGCTATCTACGATTCCCTCACAGATGCTCCAAAGCGAATCTAGCCGCAGCTACAGTGATGTCATGCAGTGAGACAGGAGCTGCAGCTGGACATAATTCCTACACGTGAAAGAGTCATGGACATCACAAGAGTTCTTAAATTCCCACATCGCACAGGAGGAGATGACACAGGTCTAGGATCTCCTGTCATGATTTAAGTTAACTTAAGGAAGGGTTAACAACAGCAGCAAAGCCAAGAAAAAAGAAAAACTACTCACCAGTCACCAGTCACCCACTTAACTGCTGGCTGTGGTATCATGGTTCAATTTCTTTCTACTTCTCCTTTTGCCCTTGTGCCTTCAGCAGCTGCAGTGTTCGCTTCTCCTCCAACTGCCTTATCTCATAGCTGATCGCCCTACTTACTGAAGCCCAGTATTCAACAAAGCCTACAATTAAACCTCTAGCAAGACGTCAACCCCAAAGCAGCCTTTTTCGGAATGACCACTCCATTATAGTTTGTCTCCCTTTTATTTGCTCTTGGATGTTCGCTGGTGACTGAGCCAACTCTCCCAGAATCCTTCTCAGCAGTGCCCTCTGTTGGATGCTCTTGCACCATTTGCTGACTTAGAACATAGAAACGTTCGATTTGATCTGTTATATTTTGGTGTCAGTAATGCTCTATCTGAGCTATTTTCCATCTTATTTCCATCTCACCCTACTAATATTTCCTTCATTCCTTTTTCTTTCCCGTACTTAACTAGCTTCTACTTGAATGCATCTAAGCTGTTTGCCTTAACTACTCCATGTGAAAGAGTGTTGCATATTTTCACTGGTCTGCATAAAATGGTTTGACCTAAATTATTTGAGTTATTAGTGACTATTTTATATTTACTCCTACTAGTTGTGGATTGAATCACAAGTGGATTCATCTTCTTTATTTGTCCTATTGAATCCCTCCTTAATTTTGTAGAGCTCTATTAGGCAATGACACTGCCTTGTCTTTCTGACAGAAAGAACTTATACATGATCCATCTCCCTGGTCGCTGGAATCTCTATGTTGTGGTATCGTTCTAATTTTTTGTTGCACTTTTCATGTTCTTTTTGTAATCCAGAGAACAGAACTGTGCACCTTTCCTGATTGGTGTACAAGTTTAATTTATTTCAATGCTTTTGACCAAAGCATTGGAAAAAGCTCTACCTTTTCTTTGAATAGTGTGGGATCTTTCATCTGAGAGATCAAAAGATGCCTCAATTTTATTCCTCAATTTTATTCCTCAATTTTATTAAAAATTCCTCAATTCCTCAATTTTCTTCAATTTCCTCAATTTTCCCTGTGTACCTTACTTATGATAAATGCTGTTTCTTCAGAGAATGTTTTTTACCTATACCAAGTAGTGTTTTCTTAACTATTACAAATAAACCTATTTTCTCCAACAAACATGTGAACGCTCACAGGAGATTGATTAATAATATATTAAAGGGTTTGTGCCTAGCATGCAATTTCCTAGAGATTACATTCTCATCATTGCATTTTCACAGTCTTGATACCTTTGTCCAGAACTCTCTGAGCAGATGTTGCAATCTAAGCATGATATTTCATTCACGTGCTCCCGTGATGCGTTTGTACCACTTGGTTAGTATACCCAGTGAGGCAGATTTCTTTAGCCTCAGTCTCTAACGATATGTGGATTTTATTTTTAAATAGTCACCATTGATATTTGGCTTTAAAGTCCTTATTCAAGTAAGCTATATGTGGAATATTTTTAAAAGAGGCTGTCTGTGAGGCTTTCTGTGGTAAAAATGTGCTTTGTTTCCTAAAGTATGTTATGTTTTTCATACAGCTGTTGAAGTTAAATCCTCCCTGCCAGTGACTATGCAGACTGCTAGTCCAGTTGACCTGCGGACAGACCCCAGAATCTCAATCCCAACTGTGGACCCCCTTCTTCGTGAGCAGCAGCTCCAACATGAACTGCTGATGCTGAAACAGCAGCAACAAATCCAGAAACAGCTATTATTTGCTGAGTTCCAGAAACAGCATGAACACCTGACAAGGCAGCATGAGGTTCAGATTCAGGAACACCTAAAGGTACTCCCCATGATCTCAGTTTAGTTTGTGCACTATTCTGAAATTAACATCTCACAACACTTGATGTTAAACTGCAGCTTTATCTGTAACACTGAATATTATGTATTACAATTGGATGTTATACACGAGATTAACATGTAAAGCACAGACAGGGCAACTCTATTATATTCCCATTATCATTCCTGACTAGTCTAACGTATGAAATTATTTGGACTCAGACTGGTCAGGAGTTAGCACAAACAATAATGCTTATTGCTAAACTATTTACTTGATCAATGCCTTTGCCTTTATCTTGCTTATTCTTGGATATAATTTATTTCATAATTCCTCATCTGGCTACTTATGCCAAATTACCATTTTTTCTCAACATTATTGGCTGTTCAAAATCACATTCTAAAACTTCTTGAATTTAGTTTGCTTCACAAATTTAAGTATATAACTCACAGTAACAGAAAAAGTTAATTCTGCATTAAAATTGTTATTGCATTCTTAAATGTGTAATTGTACTTGAATATATTGAATAGTAAGACGAGCTACAATTTACAAAAGAACAATTTTGATCATGCAGCACCTTCCTCCCACTCTATTGGTAATGATTAAATTTATTTTATGGTAGCCAATTTTTAATTGCTTTTTTTAAAAATAGCACAATTATAATTTACCCTATTTATTTTTGACGCCATTCCCTGTACCATTCCAAACTTGAGTAATCTCAATATAATTTTAAAAAGCACATTCTTGCGGGTTTAAGGTGTTAGAAATCCAAGAATCGTTGTTTTAATTGCAATCCTTTGATCTCCACATTAAGTAACTAAAAAGCTTATTCTGGAGGTAGAAGAAAAAGACATTTTCTTTGTTCTTCACTTACTAAAATGTTGGCAAATTGAGTGGCTAATGTTTTAACTGGGCATAAATCCACGTGAAAACTTTTGAGTTTAGACTATTGTCAGTTTGAACTCTTGAATTCAGTTCTTCTAAAAATAGTAAATGAGATGTAGATTTATTTTAAATCTACCTGAATGTAGCCAGACAACATAATGTGAGCAGTGACAGAACGGACAGTCTACAGTGTTGGTTTTGCCGAGAGGTACATATTTAATATTTTAACATCTAATCTGGTTAGCAAAGCTTGTTATTTTAGATCGTCCACAGCACAGCTATTTCTTGGCAGCAACTGTGTTTTTGAGCACACTATTTCAGCATTTGAATTAACGTACAATTCCATGTGAATGAATGTTAAAAGAGTTGGTAATGCAAATCCCTGGGTTTTCAATGCTTAAACGTAATAGATTAATAATATTAATAATAATCAATAAATTCAGAAAGTAGCATGTGCTTCCTGTTTATCTGGTCTGCTGTGTCATTTGTGCAAGCAACAACAGGAGATCCTAGCAGTGAAGCGTCAGCAAGAATTGGAACAACAACGCAAGCTTGAACAGCAACGACACGAAGAATTGGAAAAACAGAGATTGGAACAGCAATTGCTTATGCTTCGAAACAAAGAGAAAGGCAAGGAAAGTAAGGAAGCTATATGTGAATGTGAGCTTTTGCTAAATCAAAAGCTGCCCCCTCTACTTGAGCTCTTGCAGTTCTAAGAGGATGGGGTGGAAAATCTCTGAAAAGGACCTATCTGATGTGCCAAGACAGTTTACTTCTGAGACAGGTATTTCAGTTACACTAACGTGATGGTCTGGGAAACACATTGCAGCTGATTTGAAGCTAATCAAACCCTAGAGTATTTCACAGTGTACCACATCAAAAAGGGAATACTGTATTATCTCAGAGAACAAACCTCAAAATGCACCCAAATATCTAATGAATTTAAATGTAAATATATATTGCAATGGCATTTTGTCTGCTTTACCAAAATTTTAATTTCTTTTTCCTTTCCTTCTTTAGTTCCTTAACGTGGTATTTTGAGCTGGTGGGAGGGAGGCAAAAACATTTATTTTGGTCAATATCCCTCTTAATTTGCAGAGTTTGTAACATTGCTCTGAGATAATTCACACTAATTTGTCCTTTGCTCTCATTTGCTCCACATTACGTCCTGATGATAATAAACTTGTTCTGGGAAAGACGACCCTGGAGTTTTTGGGAACCGGTCAGCTGCGTTGTATTCTCAGCATAGTATGTAGAACTATTCAAGGACCCAGTTAAAATTCAGGCAATGCAAAAAAAGATATTGGACATTAGATAAGCAATCACAAAGGAGGAAACTCAACTTTGGTTATGTAAAGGACTGTTTCTGAAATATTTAGCCCAATAATGCATCATTGCACCAATGTTGAGTAATCGTATTCATAAAGTGCTAACATCAGTCTAAATAGCCCTTGTAAATGCATGACTTTTTCATTATGGAATTGAGTGGAATAAATTGTTCTTGGTTAAATAATCATATATCTAAACTTAATAAACCGTATATTCTTGTTTTGCAAAGAAGTATTGCAAGTACATTGCTGCATTAATTAAATATAATTTTATTGAGAATAGAATGATTTAGTTTCTTCTTTGCAGCCACTTCATAATAATGAACTGCTTTTAAAAAATTTCTTTTAGATCCTGATATAGAATAATGCATTTTTAAAATGACATTCTTAATTGTCCTGTATTTAATGACAAAAATCCACAATAATTTTTAGTGGTAACATGAACAATTTAAGAACATTAATATTAAACCATTAATCAAATTAATGCAGGTCTCAATTTCAGCCATGTATAATATTTACTATAGGAAGGAGCAGATCCGTTAAAATATATTTTAGTTAAATTTCATCATTATTTACTAGTAAACAGGCACTACTCAATCTGCTAAAACATTTCAATTGAATATTACTGCAATACCACCATATGTATTTTTATGACATCTTAATTCTCATTTGTGCTTCCTTCTGCTGTTCAGGTGCAATAGCTAGTACAGAGGTCAAATTAAAACTTCAGGAGTTCCTGCTAAGTAAAACTGCTTCAAAGGATTCTGTGACCAGTGGATTGAACCATTCCCTCCCTCAGCAACCCAAAAGCTGGTACTATATGTGCACATTCATATTGTAGGTTATACCTGTTACATGCTATACATGTTGTAATTTTATCTTTTATGCTTTCACACTGTGTTTTTACTCTGAATTTAAAGATATTTTGACAAAAATCTCGAGAAAGAATAGAATCGTTCTCTAATTTGACAATATATTTTCAATTGTGATGCACCCCGGAAGTAATGTGGTTGTGGAATAGCTCAAAAAATGTCTTAGTAAGGAAATTGCATCAATAGTCTGGTGCAGGTGTTCTTTCTGAGTATATTTTTCTAAATAGCACTTTGACATCCTGACAAAAATTGACGTAACAAGTAATAAATTGACATGTGACTACAAGATCGACGCAGGTCGGAAAGGCCATTCAATCCATCGTAGTTTACATGCCTAAATGAGACTATAATCCCTTATTATCTAACTGTTGAATGATTCCACGGTTCTTGCCTCCACTGTTCTGTTAGGTGGTCCATTCTGTTGTCGTTATTTGTCTCATTAAGAATTTCAGATATAAATTTGTCCCTTTGTCCCATTGTCCTGTTCTGCTTAATTTGAAGTAGCAGACCAAACATTTCTTTAACAAAAGAAGGCAGTTGCTGGCAAAACTCAGCAGGTCTGGCAGCATCTATGGGAAGAGAGCAGAATTAACATTTTGAGTCCAGTGACTCTTCAGATGAAGTCACCAGACTCAAAACATGAACTCTGCTCTCTTCCCACAGATGCTGCCAGACTTGCTGAGTTTCATCAGCTATTTCTGTTTTTGTTACAGACCTCCTGCATTCGCAGTTCTTTGTTTTATGTCAATTTTTTTGTTACTAGTTGTTTTCTGTATTGCTGCTCATTTATCTCATTTCAAAGTTGAAGCGCTGGAGTTTGCACCCTATGTATCAGTTGATTTATCTTTACAATGTAGAAACATATTTTTGTATTCCATGATCTTTATACATTAAGAAAATTAACTTTATGGAAGTATTTATAGCCTCAGTTCTTCAGTCTGACTGAACATATATGTTGCACATCCCTGTTCATCCAATTTCTGTCAAAATAAAATTCCTTCTCACCTCTTTTTCTCTTGCCAGTCCTTTTTGGCTTTTTTTGGCTCCCAACAGTTCCACATGCAGTCTGTCATTTCACCAAATGGGTATTCATTGGTCTGTTTTGCTTCTGAATGCCTGGCGTCTGTTTTAAGCATTGGAGTTGATGCAGGAACTTCAACTACAATTACAGTTACCTTATTGCTCATCTAATTGACAATTGAACTGGGTGTCTTCCTGGTCTCTAATCCTCAGAAACTCACTGTATAGTGAGGAACCTGTATAGAGGAACCATTTGGGAGAGCACCGTCTATTTGTAAAAGTCTAGAGCTTTGAACTGTGCTGATTATATATTTAAAATAAGGATTTAATTTTGAGTTCATTTGGATATAAAAGGCTAAGTGTAGATGTTTTTTGTGTCTCCCCGTAGCTATGGAGTATGCTCATGTAATGAACCACATGCTGCAGAAGATTGCCATTCGTGGTGTTCAGCTGTAATGATTTCTGAGAAAGTATATTGACGCATCTGAAATGTATTTCACAGTCCCTTTTACCATCGCCTAAGCGCTGCTCAAAATACAATGACCTGATCTGCAATAACACTTGTTTCCTTCAATAATATGTATGATCAACTTGTGTTATACATGAATCTGCCAAAAAAATGTCCTTGCATCAGAAGTTGCTCGAATCAAAAAAAAGTTCAACCTTCAGCTGTTGGCATTTGAATGACCTACTTTTGTGTAGACATAATGTCTCCTAATTGTTTAAGTCAGAGTTTAAAAAGTCAGAACACAATAAATTTCTGGAAATTATGGTGCATCCATGAAGTAGAAATTTCACTTAGATCATCCTTTCTTTACTTTTGTCATATCAATTGAAACTTAACAGAAACTTGCATATTTCAGCTTGTCAAGAAAAGATCCAAAAGACATAGTAGGTTCAGCATTGTTTGTTCTGTCTGTTCAGATCGGTGATCATCAAAATCGGTGGAATATTAAAACACAAAGCCAGATTTGTCAGAAGAAGTTGCAATAAAACTATATTGTGGTCTGATCAGACTGCATCTTTCGTAATGTCACTACATTTAGTACTCTGTCTAATTCCAGCCTCTGAGACACAGAAGTGTTGGAGGCAGTGCATGGACAAAATATAGCTTCGTTCAGAGATCTGACGCTAAACTAGGTATTGTATTTGATCCCAGGATGAGTTTTCAATCACACATTAATACCAATGATGAGACTGCTGATTCCTAACTTGAGAACATCACTCGACTTGCATTGACTTGGTTTATTTACTGCTAAGCTCTCATCCATGTCTTTGATGCCTTGAGACTTGACTATGTAACTCTTGCAGACTTCTTTCCAATTCTGCCGTCCATAGACGTGTGGTTACTCAAACCACTGCTACTTGCATAAAATCCTGCATGCTCATCATGCTGCGACCACTGACATTGATCATGGTTTAACAAAAACTCAATTTTAAATTTGTAATCCTTAATTTAAATCGCTTCTGTGGCCTCCCAATCTCGGAAATCTCCTTCAAGCCCATAATTCTTCAAAATGTTTGCCCTCAGCAAATTCTAGCCTGTTATCTGTCATTGGTTTTAAATATCCCCATCATTGGTGACTACACCTTCAAGTGCTTTAAGAAGTTGGTCACGAACCACATCAACTCTAGTCTACCAGCTTGCCTCGATCCCCTACAATTTGCCTACCGATGTAACAGGCCCACAGCGGATGCTATTTCACTAGTTCTGCACTCATCCCTGGAACATCTGGACAAAAAGGACACTTATGTCACACTCCAGCTCATCGACTACAGCTCCGCCTTCAACACCATTATCCCCTCCAGAATGATCTCAAAACTCTGAGACCTTGATCTCGGCTCTGCCCTCTACAACTGGATCCTCAGTATTCTGTTCCACGGAGTGCGATCAGTGAAGATAACACTCAACGCTAGAGCCCCCCAAGGATGCGTCCTCTGCATCCTACTGTACTCCCTGTACAGCCATGACTGTGTTGCCAAATTCCAAACAAAAGCCATTTACCAGTTTGGTGACGACTCTACTGTGGTATGACGGATAGCTAACAGTGATGAGTCAGAATACAGAAAGGAGATAGAGAGCTTGGTGACGTGATGCAATGAGAACAACATCTTTCTTAATGTTGGCAAAACTAAAGAACTGATCATTGACTTCAGAAAGAAAAGAGTAGAACATGCCCCTATCTACATCAACAGAGCTGAGGTTGAGAGAATGCAAAGCATCAAGTTCCTAGGAGTGACGATAACTGACAACCTTTCCTGAACTTCCCACGTAAATGCAACAGTCAAGAAGGCACAACAGTGCCTCTTCTTCCTCGGGCAGTTCAGGAAATTCGGTATGTCCATTAGGACTCTCACCAACTTCTACAGATGCACCATTGAAAGCATACTGTCCGGGTACATAACGGCCTGGTATGGCAACTGCTCTGCTCAGGACCATAAGAAACTACAGAGGTTGTGTGCAAAGCCCAGACCATCACAGAAGCCAATCTTCCATCCATGGACTCCATTTACACAGCTAGTTGCCATGGAAAGGCTGCCAATATCATCAAAGATGCATCGCACCCCAGTAATACTCTCCTTCAACCTCTTCCATCATGCAGAAGATACAGAAGCTTGAATACAGGCAACAGCAGGTTCAGGAACAGCTTCTTCTTGGCCGTTATTAGACTGATGAATGGACTGTCTAACTTCAAATAATGTTGATCTTGCTCATGTTGATCTTGCCTTGCGCACACCTTGTGCAGTGTAACCTGTATGGGTCTGAGTGAGTTTTTCCTCCACCCCATGATCTGTCCTTGCTTACTATGATCTGCCTGTACTGCTTGTAAACAAATCTTATCATTGTCTTAGGTATACATGACAATAAATAAATCAAACGAAATTTTCAGCTACCTTTCTTTAATTTAGTTCTTGCAGTCCAACATCGCTGGAAAAGGTGGTGGTGTGCCCCCTCCCCCCCCGCCCCCAAACCACTGCAGTCAATCTAGTATAGGTGCACTACAGTGCTATTAGGAAGGAAACATCAGGTTTCTGATTAAACAACAGTGGAGAAATTGTCAGACTGTTGTGTGCCTTAGAGAGGAATTTGGTGGTAGTTCCACAAGTTTGCTGCCCTTGTCCTTCTTGGTAGCAGAGGGCATTGGTTTGAAATGTACTGCCAAAGGAGACTTCGCAGTTTGCTACACTGCATCTTGTATGTGGTTTACATAGATGCTATAATAAGCCAGCAGCAGAGGGAGTTAATGTTTGGGTTGGTGGATGGTGTAAGGATCAAGATGGCTGCTGTGTCCTGGATAGCTATGAGCTTGTTGTAGCTGCAGTCATCCAGACAAGTGGAGAGCATTCCGTTATACTCCTGACTTGTGCCTTGGAAATGATGGACAGGCTTTGAAGAGTCACAAAGTGATTCACTTGCCACAGAATTCCCAGCCTCTGACCTGTTCTAGTGGCCATAATATTTATATGATAATACCAGTTAAATTTATGTTCAGTTGATTGGCTCTGAAGCATGAGTTTTCAGTAGTATTGCCGAAATATTCTTGTGCAACATGGTCTTTTGCTGTATCCACTGCTTTCAACAAGTTCTTGATATCGTGGAGTGTATCAAATTGGGTGACGACTGGCATTTGTGAAACAAGGACCCTCGGGAAAGAGGCCAAAATGGAACATCAATTCAGCACTTTTTGCTGAAGATAATTTCAAATGCTTCAGCCTTGTCTTGGATGCTGATGTTCTGGACTTTCCCATCATTGAACATGAGGATATTTCTGGAGACCTTGCTCTGGTTAGTTGTTTCATCGTCCACTACCAGTCACAACTGGATGTGGCAGAACTGCAAAGCTTTGAGCTGATCTATTGCTTGTGTGATCTCTTGAATCTGTCTTTTATCTGGTACTCACTGTCCAACATGCATAAAGTCTTGTAATCTAACTTAACAGGTTTGAACCTTATTTTTGGGAATGTCTGATACTCCTGGTGTGGCCTTTTTTATTTCTCATTGAACCAGGATTGAATTTATGTCTTGCTGATATTGGTAGAGTGAAGCATATGCCATATCATGTTAGTTTATGGGTCCAGAGTTGTTGAGGACTCTTTGAGCAGCACCTTCCTAACTGTAAACCACTGGGTGTATCCTACCAGATGGACTTAAGTATAGTGATGGTGGAGTTTGAGACATTGGTTGTAAGTCATAATTTGGTGAGTATTATTAGGCTGTTGCTCGACTAGTATATGGAAGAGCTCTTCCAATTTTGACACATGTCTCGGATGTTAATAAGGAGGACTTTGCAGAGTTGACTGGGCAGAGTATGCTGTAGTTGTTTCAAGTGATGCCTTATTTGGTATTACTTCTTTTTGACTTTGCTGTTATGATTTGGTACAACTGATAGCTCAGCTATTTCAGAAAGCGATTAATAGTCAATTGCATAGCTGTCGACCTGGAGTCATACGTAGGGCAGACCAAGTAAGAATGATACATTCATTTCTGTAAAGAACACAAGTGATCCAGAGGGATTTTTAAGACAAATGATAACTTTGTGTATGCCATTACTGACAATAGCTTTTCATTCTAGGTTAATTAATTAATTAATTGGAAATTTTATCAGCTGCCACAGTGGGATTTGTATTTGTGTCTCCAGAGCATTTCCTGGGCCTCTTTATTTCTACTACAATAGTGATGTCACGACACCATTGTCCTGTAGGCTGTAAGCTCTAGGATTCCCTCTTTTTCCATTTTTTAAGATGTTACATAAAAATCTACCTATTTGGCCAGGTTTTTTGCCATCAGTCCACGTATTGGTCTGTGTGGCTCAATTTCAAATTTGTGTGAAAATGCTGTTGTGAAGTGGCTTGAATACTTAATGTCAGAGTCGGTATTTGCATCTTTAGGAAGACCGAGAGATATTTTTGATACTAAATTTCTAAGAGGTGAGCTTATTGAAAAGCATAATGAATAGTCAACAGCAAAATATATGTGAAAATTTAGTCTTAAAGGTCGCAGGTACAAACTAGTAAATGTCAAATTTCAGACTGTTACCAAGATGTTCTTCATGCAGTGATTAATCAAACACATTGAACATACTTTCAGTTACGATGGTAAAGACAAAAACCTGGAATCATTTTGCAACTGTGTGAATGCAGCCCTGAATTTAGGAGAATTCTGAATGGATAAACTAAAATGGATTAAATGACCTGGAATCATTGTGAATTTAGCCCTATTTAAATTAATTGGATTGAATTTCATTTGTGGAATAAGTTCACTGAAATATAGTAACCATTTATCAATATTTATATACACTTTAAGTGTGCCATTGTAGATACAGCTCTGTTAATATACTTTTCCCTTGATTGTACCAGGGGAGCCCACCATGCATCACTGGATCAGAGCTCCCCACCCCAGAGTACAACTCCTCCCACCTACAAAGTCCCACTGCTGGGGTCATACGATGGAAAAGATGATTTTCCACTCCGAAAAACTGGTGAGTATTCAGCATTTAATGAGATTTATTTTTAAACCACTTGTAACAGCTGAAAACTAAGTGCCCAGCTTAAAATAGAGCTATGGGGAATAATGTAATAGTATGATGTTAAAACTCATGTCAAGTCTGAGTCAGCTAAAAGGCATAAATATGTTTTTTCAATTCATTTTTGAATTCCGTTATTCAATATCTATACCTAGGTAAAAGCAAATAAATTATTTGATGCTTTTACACCAGTTTAAGGTTTTCCTCACGTGTGCAGGTACTAAGGCTCTCCAAATATTTAGGGAAGATATATTTTATAATTAGCAGTATTTAAGACATAGAAACCCATACAAAGGACTCATATTTGAAAGTGCAAATTGCCAGTATTGTCAAGTAAAAATATTGACATGATAATTTTGTTATTGCATCTGTAACATAAGAAATTTGATTATTTTTTAAGTTAGCACCATTACATATAAATACTGTTTTGACTATTCTAAGAGATTATTGTGTCTTATTCTGTTACTTGTAACTCAGTATCCTGCATCCTGCCACATATAGAAATCTGAGGTTAGATATTAAACTGGGAGTCTGATCATTTTACATCCTAGAAAATTGAATTTATTCTATCCTAGTTTAATTTTTGGGTATAAACTTAAACAAAAACTGTTGGGTTTGGGTTAATATTCATTGGTAATAAAGATTGCAGTGCATTCGAATTCTTTATTGCACTGAGCAATATATACTGCCGACAGAATTTGTGAACTATTGCAAAACAAAAGGGAAATTTTCCTGTTTACATTAAATAAATTGGAAGGCAATATGTTAATTACACTAACGTCAGAAATATTGGTACTTTAATAATTAACCATGTAAATCAACAGAAGCTGGGTTGTGTCCCACCCCTATATACAACTAATTATTTAGTTAATATTTAATATAACAATGTGTCCTCAGCCATGACAATGTAACCAACTGTTTTGTTCTTCACATTGACTTATTTGGTATTCCAGTTCCCATCTTAGAATGGTATATGTTGAAAATGCATTTAACAACTAAACAGTTATCTGCTTTTGACACGTGATCAGAACTGTCCTGGTCCAAAAAGCTTGGAATCAACCTGTCAGGACCAATCACAAAAAAGATTGATCATTTTCTTAGAATCTGATCAATTTTAATGTCTCACAAACTTAATCGAGGTTTTTGAGGACGTAACTAAAAAGATTAATGAGGGCAAAGCCACGGATGTTGTCTGCATGGACTTTTGTGAAGCCTTTGACAAGGTTCCGCATGGTAGACTGATAAAGTTAGATCGCAAGGAATTCAGAGAGAGCTGGCCAACTGGCTACAAAATTGGCTTGACAGTAGGAGACAGAGGGTGGTGATTGAGGGTTGTTTTTCAGACTAAGAAGCCTGTGACTAGTGGTCGTCTTCTGGGATCGGTGCTGGGTCCGCTTTTCTTTGTGGTTTATATGAATGATTTGGATGAGAATTTAGGAGGCATGTTTAGTAAGTTTGCAGATCCCGCCAAAATTGTTAGTATAGTGGACACTGAAGAAGGTTATCTAAGATTACAAAGGGATCTTGATCAGTTGGGCCAATGCGCTGAGCATTGGCAGATGGGAGTTTAATTTGGATGAGGGCGTCATTGGCCAGACAGCATTTATTGCCCATCCCTAATTGCCCAAAGGGCAGTTAAGAGTCAGTCACATTGCTGTGGATTTGGAGTCATATGTAGTCCAGACTAGGTACGGATGGTTTGCTTCCCGAAAGGACATTAGTGAACCAGATGGGTTTTTCCAATAATCAACAATGGATTCACGGTCATCATTAGATTCTTGATTCCAGATATTTATTGAATTCAAATTCTACCATCCGCCATGGCAGGATTCGATCCTGGGCCCTCAGAACATTATCGAGGTCTCTGAATTAACAGTCCAGCGATACCACTAGGCCATCGCTTCCCCAGGGCTTATACAGTTAAAGGTAGAGCCCTGGATAGTGGTGTCAATTAGAGAGACCTAGGGGTTCAGGTACATGATTCCTGGAAAGTTGTGTTGCAGGTAGAGAGGGTGGTTAAGAAGATGTTTAGCGCACTTAACTTCATTGCTCAGGCAATTGAGTAGCAGTTGATGAGGCCACTTTTGCATTACTGTGTTCAGTTCTGGTCACCCTGCTATAAAAGCTTATTATTAAATTGGAGAGGGTTCAGAAGTGATTTACCAGAATGTTGCTGGAATTGGAGGGTTTGAGTTATAAGGAGAGGCTTGTTGGGCTGGAACTTCTTTTACTGGAACATGGGAAGTTGAGGGGTGACCTTTTATAGAGGTTTATAAAATCATGAAGAGCCTAGCTAAGGTGAATAGCAAAGGTTTTTTCTTCTGGGCGAGGAAGTTTAGAACTTGAGAGCATATTTTGAAGGTCAGGAAAAAAATTTAGAAGGGATCTGAGGGGCCACTTTTCATACAAAGGGTGCATCGTATGTGGAATGAACTGCCAGAAGAAGTGGTAGATGCAGGTACAGTTACAGCATTTAGAAGACATTTGGAAAGGTACGTGAAAAGGAAAGGTTTAGAGGGATATGGGCCAAATGCAGGCAAGTGAGACCTGTTTAGTTTTGGGGAAACTTCGTCAGCATGGGCAAGTTGGACTGAAGTGTCTGTTTCCGTGTTGTATGATTCTTTGACACTGAATTACTGGTGCAGACATTTTAGTGATTAAGCAGTAATAGTTAGCAGAAGAAACATTGGGCCCAGTTTTAATTTCATTATCTGACTGCTGTTATAATGATGTGCAGTGTATTTTATTAATGAAGATGAGATGGAAAATTCTTTCTGTGGCAGCATTGAGAAACTAGTTATACTGGTGAGATCAGACAGGTTTGTTTTTCACCTGTGTGCTACATACTGGCCTGACTGGTTTAGAGATGGGACAACATTGACAAGTGTAGTTTTGACCACTCCTGCTTAAACTAATAGCATTGAGAGTCTGCTATTTAGTGTAGGACTGGAGCTGCATGCAAATCAGACGAGTTTGGATATTGGTCCTTCCCTAAAATATGTGACTTACATCAATTGGATTTTCTTAGTATACTAGCAGTTTCCACGGTAATTTTTCTGATGCAAGTCCATAAATTGCTAGATATACCTGCCACAGTAAGGTTAGAACCTACAACAATGGATTGATAGCTCAGTAGTATAATCATTAAACCAGCATATTGAAGAATGTACAGATTGAGGAGAAAAAAATGGATATTAAGTCCAACCAGTACATAGATTCAATAGCCTAAAGAGAAGTTCTACCTGAACAGTCTGATACTCAAAGATGGTCAAGAGAAGTTCCAGAATACTTCTGTTTCTTCACATTTCTAAGGTGCAGCCTTGTCTACATCCTCCCAAATTCTGCGTTGACTGAAGAACCATCGTGGTGCATAAAATGCTGAATCAGTCTCACCTTTATTTGTTTGAATCCGGGATCTCGTGCATTATAACATGCTAGTTAATATTATGCTTGGATTTTTAAAGTTGAGGCAAGTGTGGAGATGGAGTGGATTTGCTTTCTCTGAATTCTATTGAATACTCAAAGACTGAGGAAGTGATTGCCAATAGATAGAAGATAACCAACACATGTCGCTCATTCCTGATTACCTTTGAGAAGGTAGTAATGAGTTGTTTTTCTGAACTATGACAGACCATGTGGTTAAGGTAATCCCACAGTGATATTCGGGAGGAGGGTCCAAAATTTTAACTCATCAATGATGAAAGAACACCAATATATTTTCAATTCAGAATGCTATGGATAGTTGGAGGTGGTAACATTTCCACATGCTTCTTCTTGCCTTTCCAGATAGTATAGGTTATGGGAGGTGTTGTCAAAGAAACCTTGGTGAGTTAGTACAGTGCATCTAGTAAATAATAAGCACTACAGACATGGTATGTTCATTGTGGAGCAAGTAAGTGTTCAAGGTGATGGATGGATTGTTATTATTGGGCTCGTTTCTACTGTATGATGTTGAGCTGTTTGAATGTTGGAATTACACTTATCCAAGCAAATGGAAAGTTTCTTCTACGCTTCTGATTTATGCCTTGTAGCTTATCAGCTCTAGTCTGAATTTTTTCCAGGTCTTGTTACATGTGGCACAGACTGGTTCCTCATGAGGCCTGGAGCTGAGTAGTCCTGATGGAACTCACTCTGAGCAGTATTAGTCAGGTTGTTGATGAGTAAGCGCTGCTTAAGGGCACAGTTAGTGATATCATTCATCTTTTTACTGACAACTGAGAACAGGTTGCTGGGACTGGAGTGACTGAATAGAATTGGCCCCACTTTTTGTTGGCAGAAAATAAGTTGCACTTTGTTGGGGAGAAGCCAGTGTTGTAGCTGTACAAAAACAAGTTGCCTACAGGCTCAATTTGAGGCCCAAGACATCAACACTAGCTTGGACATTATTGAGACCCATAGCCTTTTCTGTATCCTGTGAGGTCATTTCTTGTACTGAAGATTGGCACTCTGTCATTCAGTGATCTCAGGTTGAAGTTGAGGCGGAAACAACCAATACTTCCGGCTATTTGTGCATGTCATTATCATGTGGTGAATTTGTAATTCTGAACTTGCAATTCAAGAGTGGGAAGTGAAAAGAAGGAAGACAAGAAAAAATATTCACTGAAGCTACAAGGAACAAGTCAATCAAAACTCTTCAGCATACCTCCTAGAAATCTTCTTGAAAGCAGCATTAAGGAAGTTTATATGTGCACCTCCAATATTAGTATGTACATACAGCAAATGATTAACAAGGCAAATGTAATGTTGGGATTTATTATAAGGAGAATGGAATATGAAATCAGAGAAGTTTTCCTGCAATTGTTCAGGGCCTTGGTGACACCATCTCTGGAATACTATATACAGTTTTGAACTCCTTATTTGAAAAAGGATGTAATTCCATTAGCGGTACTTCAGAGAAGGTTCACTCGATTCATTCCAGGGATGAAAGTTTGAACAGGTTGGCACATACCCTTTAGATTTTAGAACAATGCAAGGTGATCTCATTGACACATATGAGATCCTGAGAGACATGATAGGGTGGATACCAGGAGAAAGTTTCCTCTTGGGGGGGAAACTAGAATTAGGGAATGCAGTTTCAGGATAAGAGGTTTTACTTTTAAGCTGAAGATTATTGTTTTTTCTCAGAGTTTAGTTTTGATTTTGTTTTCCTCAAAGGAGTAGAGGGCAGATTTTTGATTTAATTCTGTCTCACCCAGCCTTGAATATTGATTGACAAAAGAGTCGAAGGTTGTGGGGCTGTGTTGGTGGTGGAGAGGAAAAGACAGGAAAATGGAGTTAAGAGCATAAGAAGATCAGCCTTGAGTTGAAAGAGTGACAGGACAGGCTCAAGGAGCCTAGTGACCTATTCCTGCTCTTAAGTCCTATGTTCCTTTTTTTTATTTATTCAGGAATAATACATGGTACACAGACAAAAAGATAATTGAACAGGGATTTCAAAGCAGGAAATAAAATTCATTCTAATTTTTTAATATTTGTTTGTACAAAGGACTAATTAATGTAAATAAGAGAGAATCCTAAACATTTGTGGCAAAGTAGGAATTTATATGGCCCATTGTGTCCATTCTGATTGGGAAAGAGCTAATCAGTATGATCTTGCATTCCATAGCTCAGTTCTGTAACCTCGTAGGTTAGAGCACATAAAGTGCATATGCAAGTACTTTTTGTTGAGCAGTTATTTTCTCACAATCAGATAGAACTTGCAGGTATTTTTTTATTCTTGTATGGGATGTGGACTTTGTTGATGAGGCTGGCATTTGTTGCCCATCCTGAATTGCCCTTGAACTGATTGGCTGTCTAGGCCATTTCAGAGGACAGTTAGGAGTCAACCCCATTGCTGTGAGTTTGGAATCACATGTATGCCAGACCAGGTAAGGATGGTAGATTTCCTACCCTCGGACATTAGTGAACCAAATGGATAATTTGTGAACGTGTGTAGGGGTATAAGTGGTACAGTTATTTACTCTGCACTGTTGAATTCTGTAATCCATAATACACAGAATTCATTATCACTTGTTAGTTGTCCTCATCCATTTTATTTTGAGTTGAAAAATGAATATTTTTTTTATGAGTACAGTTTTGAAATAATTTTGGCTACACTGTGATATCTTCAAGTCTTAAAATTGCTTTTGCATTTATTTATATGAGACGTTTTATAATTAAAAGGAGCAGAAAGGCCTCTTGATGTAAACAATGGTACAAATCTAAATTTTATCACTTTTTTAATGTTCTACTGTGTAACTCATGATTGACACTGGAGGATAGCTTTTCCCATGTGAATGGTTGTTTTGAGCGAGTTTTTTTTTGTTTTCAATATTTCATCAGGGTCAATAACATAGTATTCATGAAAATGATACATCAGTATTCTCAAGTTTGTGTTTTTCGATATTGGAACAAATCTAATAGTGTGTAAAAACAAAAACAAAAATTATAAATTTGCGACTGATGTCAATGAGCAGAAGTCAGGAGACCTACAGTCTTAAATAGAGACAGTAAGAACTGCCGATGCTGGAGTCAGAGATTACACAGTGTGGAGCTGGAGGAGCACAGTGGGCCAGGCAGCATCAGAGGAGCAGGATAGTTGACGCTTCGGGTCGGTACCCTTCTTCAGAAAAGACTTACAGTCTTAATTTTTTAATGGGACTGTTCTTCAGAAGTGGCGAACTAATCATTAACTGTATTCGCATAACTATGTTCTGGTCTGCAACCGATAATTTATAACTCGAGGAAAGCAAATTTTTGAGGCAATAATCTGGTGTCATTCAGTTAATTGTCATTTAGTAAACCTTCATCCCTTCTTCATTCCAGTGCTTGCTTTTTAAGGCAAAAAAACATTTTCAAAGCTAAGTTTTAATTTTTTTTTTCTTGAAATAATGTACACAGCTTCTGAACCCAATTTGAAAGTACGTTCCAGATTAAAACAGAAAGTGGCTGAGAGGAGAAGCAGCCCATTATTGAGGAGAAAGGATGGCACAATAATTAGTACGTTCAAGAAGAGAGCTATTGAAATCACAGGTAAGTTTGCAGAATTGAATAGAGTGTGTGATGTATCATCTGACAACTATTTAAAATCTGAAACTAAAATAAAGTACATCCAGTAGTGATTTTTGCTGCCTTGTTATTATGTATGCTGCTAAAATTTTTTTTAAATAAAAAACTAAAATAGTAATCTTTCCCTCGTTAAAATGTTAAATGGTTGCTGAGGGACAGTTCCACAGGTGCTAAAGGCTCATCGTTGTCTTGTCCAAAATGTGTGTACCACAACATGATTTTACTGCTGAGTGCCAAAGACAAAAAAAAATTCCGTCCTATCCGTATCTAAAGAAGCAAACCTCAGAAATGACTGGGTAGCAATCAGAAAAGATAACTGGAATGATTTGTTCCACCTTCATCCAAGGATAGCATAATTGAATCTGATGAAACATTCCAAGTCTATATGGTTCAAGCACACACTGAACAAACTTGTTGAGGCCTCAGGGTGTCACACACACATGACTAAAAGCAAAATGCACAAGTGCTATAAACTGAAGCAATGAACACAATGCTGGAAAAACTCACCAGGTCTGGTAGCATCTGTGGAGAGAAATAGAGTCGATGTTTAAGTCTGGTCACAACTGACTTTTCTGGAATTCTGTGTAAACAATGGAAAATCAATTCTTCAAAAGCATTAAGCAACTGAGTTTTACTTTATAAATTCTGCATTCTTTACATGGTTCCAAAAACTAATTCTTACATTCCTTTTATTGGGTCATTTAAGCACAATGTATTGAAAACTAAATAAAACAATGCACTGTGATGCATAATCCAATAATTAGTTCGTTAACATGGAGCTTAGTGCATGATACTTTCACTAGTGTATTGTGCTGTGTCTCTGTTTTGAAACTCAGATTTTAATCCTATCATTTTCAGATTTAATTCAATTTTTGCTGTTTACACAACCTGAATACAGTTGGGCTGTGTAAGTCAGTTCCAATTGGTTAACAGCTAGTTCAAGTTTTGCAGAATGATTATATTCCCAAGCCCAACTTCTTCAGTATCTCCCTGTTTGCAAACTTACTCACTGCTATAGATCCAAATTTGTATAGATGTAGGGACCACAAAAATAGTGTAAATCTGATGGAAAGTTGATTATTTGAAGTAACACAGCGGAATGACCAAGTAGGGAGAAATACTTTTTCATTATATTTGGAAAATCCTAAATGTGTCTGAACCATTAGCAACTTTCTCTAAGGCTAGAGGCAGAGAAGGCAAATAAATGAATGAAAACAAGGCAAGAGAAGAAAATAAATATACAAGCATGAGTCCTCTGACTGTTGCTAGAGCAGTCCAACATTCGACTTTCTGTATGACGACAGAATGGAAGAGCAGCTTTGTGAGGTGATTTTGAGGAGGGTTTCTCTCTCTGACACTCTACACTAATTTAGTCTAGATTTGCTGCATCTCAAAAAACCATACATGGCTTTTCTCGTTGGTTGTGCCAGTTATATGATGTACATGAGCAGTATGTGGCTTTTTAGCAGTCTTGTCACTGCTCTGTATCTGACTCTGTTCTGACCCAGATTTAATAATAATGTTCCATAATGATCAGTACAGGGTTGTTGCAGTTGCAATGTTTCCATGTATGTTGGCGTCTTCTGGTTGAAGTTAATTGAATTTTCCTTGCTGAGGGTTTTTTTTTCATCTATTCTACTAGTAACATGATATACAGTAGCAAAGCTGTTTGCTCATTGATTTGATGATTAATCAGGTATTCATATTTTAATATTATGCCGTCTGCTATCATGGTCTCCAAAAGGAACAGTCCTCTAGGGCATTGATTGTCTGTAAAGAGAGATATGCACTTCTCTGAGCAGATACGAGTGCCAGCATGTGGGTGCAGCATGTCCAGACAGCTTGGCCTGGCTCACTTCCCTCCGTTGGTCTTGATCCTCTTCCTTCAAAACGTTGAGGTAGAAATTTACTTTTGGAAGATCATAAATGTAACTAAAAGAGCAACAAAGTAATTAGTACAAAGGCTCACTAGAGTATGTGGAAGTAGAACAGATTGATAGAAGAGAACAAGTAAATCCAGGCAGCAATAGTTGTAGATTTGCTAAATTAATCTTGAGTATTGCTGAAAAACAATACATTTGGTCAAAGCTTTTCATTCTGCACTCATCTGGGAAATTTGACAAGGATACCAGTTCTAGAGGAAAATCAACAGAACACTGTTGGAGAATGCTGAGTGTGCAGAGAATTACACTGACAACAAATTGAAGATTGTCATTCGGGCTCACAGTGTGCTACACTTCCTTGTACTCGAAGCTATTTATATGAAAACACCGGGTCCTGTTCTTAGCACGTAGAAATAACATTGACACGCACTGCACCCATTTCAAATCAGCAAAATAGATGACAGTGATTCAGTGGTTAATTTTTCAGGCAATGCCTTTATCGATCCAAGTCAACCTACCCAATTTAAAATTTAAGCAAAACCATCAATTAACTGTCAATAGCATTAATGGGTCTCTTTTCCAGTGACAGTGCTTCTACTAATCTCAATTCATTTACTAACTAATCAACACTTTCCTCTTAGGCAGTATAAATATTTGTTGCCCTTTGAAGTGGTGTTCCTGTATTTTGTTCTGATGAACGTAAGATGAAAAGCTTCAACAAAGTCTTATTTTTCAGCAGTACTGAAGTTTTGTAAGTCTAAACAAGTTTGTCAGTCTTAAGGCTTTTAAATTTCATTGTATAACTCGGTGCCTAGCTTCTATGGGTACCATTATTCTTTCCACAGTAAATGTGAATATTGTAGCTTTGTAGAGAGGAAGTTTGTACTCGGACTATTATAATGGCAAGAGTCCATGTATTTGAAATGATTCCAGAAAAATTCTTTTACATTTGTTGCTTTCTGTAAAAATGATGTTCTAGATTTTGAATAATGTGCTTTGAAAACCCTGCTGCTTTAAATTATTAAACACTGAAGAAATTTCACTTTCTGAAAAAAGCTACACAATCTGCTACAGTACCAAATTTCATGTAATTTTCAAATTAGAATAAACCAACAAAAAATAGTTGTTGTATCCATGATGGTTGTTAAAATAATATTATATATATGATTTTCTGCCTGCTCTTGCCATCCAGTAATTTTCCACTCATTAATGTAAACAGTTGTAAAGTTGTAAAGTTGCTAGTTGAAAAGTGCAGAAGTCAAAAAACCTGATCAGTGAGTCAGTCGAGCTCTTTTGCTCTTTTAAATTGAAAAACAACAAACTTGTTCCTTGAATGAATGTGTACCTATTGCTTGTTTTTGTAGTGAGTTTTAATCTATACTACTTGGTCTTGAGCATTTGGTTAGAATATAACGAGGCTGCTACTTGCTTGATGCTAGTTTCTTTGTTTTGATTATTTCAGTTTCCTCAGTCTGTAACAGTGCTCCTGGGTCTGGCCCGAGTTCTCCGAACAGTTCAAACAATATTCCTGCTGAGAACGGAACAACCGGTTCTGTACCCAATATTCATGTTGAGGTAATAGCTTGTACCTACCGTTAAATCTTGAAACCACTTATTTCTAAATATGTCATAACTAGCCTCTTTTTTAAATTGTTGCCGTAAATTCTACAAGCATTAATTTTGTATGTTGGCATTTTTAGTATTAGTACTAATTAAGGTGCATTATAAGTGCATAAATTGAAAATAATCTGAGAGTCTGATCGTGGATTGTCAGATGGTAATAGATAAAGAATTATATAAAATTTCATTGCAGTCTTGAAGATAGCTGCGAAAAATAGCCAATATTATAGATTATGCTGCAAATTTTATTTAAGATAATCTGCAAGCAATGTTTTTTTTTGAAAAAAGACTCTCCATTTTGCCTCTCCAATACACTTTAACCCTAGCCACAGAAGTCTATGACAATTTCAACAGTCTATATTTTCTATTTGCTGCAAGTTGTATGCTTTGGGATGAAGACCAGTAGAAAATAGGTTTGGAATGACTAAACTTGCAAAAGTTATTTTTCAGTCTAGGCTGAGTTTGACAATGTGCTAACCCACTTCACAACAGTATATATTTAAGGTTCATGTGACATTTCACACCTCCTCTGAAGTTTGATTCATTTAGTTGTGTAGATTTTTGATATTTACTGAAACGCTTAAATTACAGCAAATATGCTGAAGATTTTCTGTTTAATGTACAATGGGTTATTGTTCCTAAGTCACTTGTGACATTATTATTTCTGAGCAAACTACTTTAATGCTTTACAACTTTTGGCTCAAAATTAACTGTTGTCTTATCGTATCCCTTTCCTAAAAAGACCCCTAATGCACAATCACAAATCAGAAAATATGTAATTAAAATTTTCATCAGTAATTTGTTTTCTTAAGTTGTGATTGTGTTTGTATTTGACTTAATATTTTAGCAAGTGAAGTACACAGTAGCAAATCAGATTATAATCAGATAAACATATTTCATGTGACTCAAGCTTGCTACCTATACCCGTTAGGCTAAACTGTTAGAATGTTCAGCTCAATTACTCTTGTGCTGTTTACAAATAATTTAACCTTGAGGCTATTGAGACTGCAAACTTTTAGAACATGAAGGAAGCTTTCTGAAATGTCAAGCATGCCATTATGCATTCTGACTAAGGATGACTCATTCTGATATCCAGAATAAAAATTGTGTCATGGCTTTTCATTATTAAGTATTTATGAAGGTTCCTTTTTTTGCTGCAAGGGCTTTAAGTGTTGAATAAGAAAGAAATATACAGTGGTCTTTTGCTGCTGGTAGCTTTATTGCTCCTGAAAAGGAATACTGAGTCGATAAAAACAGAACTAAGGGTATGTGTGTTTGTTTGTACATAATAAACATTGTTCACTCCTGCAAAATCCTTCTTGAGGTTAAAATATGACCATGTAGTTGTCTATGTTTTCAGGATGTTTCCTGTAAAGACTGCCAACTAATAATCCCTTCTCCCATAGTATCAAGTATATTGACATGGGAAGCGTGTTTTGACAGCATACTTTAATCTGAATAATGTTGGTCGGTATAACATTGCTATTGTACCTTGAACTAAGGTGGAGACATTAATTTGGGCACTTACACCTAAACAGTTGTTTCTATTGCTTGAATTCTCTTATATCCATATATGTAGCTAGTGTTCCCTATCACTAGGTTTTCTTGTGGTCAGAAGGGCTTGATCACCATCAGTGAAGATTACTTTTCCTGGTTGCAAAACATTTGTTTGAAAATGTCAAGTGTAATACGTCCACTTACATGTGATTTGCGTAATTATTCCACTTGGAATGGCCGTTGTCCAATGAAAGGCTGCCATGTCTTTAAAAGAAAGTGTTTTTATTCTGAATGCAAGCAAAAGCATCCTTAGATCCAGATTAGATGAATAATGTAATTGAGTTTCTGCATTTGAAAGCAGGAAGCTGAAAGTTAGGTTTAATGTAATTCCTCAACTGCAGTCATCGTAAGTGAAGTGTCCCAAACTGTTCTCGTCCTTTACAAGTTTGATGAGACTCAAAAATATTTAGTATGATGGCAAGATAAATCATATTGTTAATGTTCTGACTTTTAGTTTAATGTGTTTTTAAGGTTCAAGTTAATTTTGAATTAGAAGGTAAACATATCTCTCATTGATCAGAACTGAATTTCATGTAGTGGAAGCTTTCACTATGCACTTCAGGAACTTCAGGGATTGAGTTGAGGTTATCTGTTGCAGGCTCAAGTATAAAGCATGAGTATTTGATCTACCTAGTGAGGTACTTACAAGGCTGTGATCTTTAAGACCAAATTAATTACATGTTAAAATTTAGACCTTTTCAGAGATTCAACCTTCAAACAAACCTGTTCAGATGTGAGTGTTGAATTGATTAAACAAATTCATTTAAAAAAGTCATTATCAGTTCTTTGATTCAGATCCAAATTAAACATGTAACATCCTAAAATCCCTGAAAGCCACAATTCAATACAGTATTTGTTATCATATCCCCAGTGTGAATTGTGAAACACTGTTCCATTTGCCATTAATTCCATACTTTTCAAAGTTAAAAATGTACATGGTTCAAACAATATTAGAGGAGTTTAGCTATTAGGTTATTGTTCCATGTTGGTGCTGAAGTTATAAATTGGTATTATAAACAAAACAAACTCTTTCTGCACTAAATATTCAAAATTCAACTGAACTTTCTTTTAGGCAACCCAGTATGTTCCCGTTAATACCCATTAACAGCAGCATTCAAATGTCCTCCTGCCCACAATAAATATTGTCACCATCATACCCATAGTCAAACTGACCAATAATCAAATTGAGAGTTGAATACAGTCTTGCTGAATATGACTGTGAATTGTTGATGCAAATTGAGAGAGGTGTATTTCTTCCCAGAATGCAATCGTCATGATCTGTTCAAGTGTGGCACGTACAGCTGATTCATATAAAAAGCAACATCAAGTCCACTTGGAGAAAGAATAGCATTTTGTTAAGTCAGCGCCTCAACAACATGTAAAGCATTTTTTTTAATCCACAGCATATGCATCCACATCACAAAGCAGTGAACACTGATGGGTCAGCAAGTCAGCTCAGCCTGTACACATCTCCTTCACTACCAAACATTTCCCTGGGGCTCCCAGCTACAGTAGCAGTATCCAATGCACAGATCAATGTAAGTAGACAATTTCATTTTGTGGAACAATCACTGTAGTGCTCCCACTGAGTTGATAAAAATGATCTTAATTAGTTCATTTCTAGTTTAATTTTTAATTGAACAGAATTGCTATTGTTTGACTTTAATTTACAATTAAACAGTGGTTTTTGAATGACAGCAAACATGAGGAATTTGAGATTTTGGTGGCAAATCATGCCAATAAAAACTGTCTTAGTTCCATTTATGTGTTTCTGCGGCACTTTTTGCCACTTGATTCATAAGGACTTTGGTTCACATTGTGTAGTATTCAACCAAAGTCCTCAGAACCTTAAACGAAATGAGAAGACATCCTAACCAAGTGATTGTGGGGGGAAAAGCACATTGCAAACTAGACCTACTTTTAAATAATCCTATGCACTTGGAGAAACTTGGCTTTTTGTTCCAAGTGTTTTTGAGAGATTGTCAAAACAGAGCACTCACTGTTTCTTACAATGTGTGGCATAAGAATTATTATATATGGAAATAGATTTTTTAATAATTAAACCACTGAACTTTGGCAAAGTACATCGATCGGCATATTCTTTTAATGCTACATTGTTATGCTATTTCTCCACTTCATAGAATTTCATAGAATCTCTACAGGGTGGAAACAGGCCATTCAGCCCAATAAGTCCACACCACCCCTCCGAAGAGCATCCCACCCAGACCCATTCCCCTACTCCTGCATTTCGCATGTCTAACCCAGCTAACCTAAACATCCCTGGGCGCTATGCGCAATTTAGCATGCCAGTCCACCTATCCTGCACATCTTTGGACTGTGGAGCACCCGGAGGAAACCCACGCAGACACGGGGAGAATGTGCAAACTCCACACAGACAATTGCCTGAGTCTGGAATCAAGCCTGGCGCAGTGAGGCAGCAATGCTAACCACTGAGCCACCCTTGGAGAGCCTGTGTACAGAGGATTAGTATGGATACACTTAATTATCAAATAGGCCATTACAGTTTAAAAATGTTTGGTTGTTGGCTTTCCTGTTTTATTCTGCAGTTTCTATTCTGGTCTTAACTTTGTTTTCGTTCTTCATTCTTTTCAGCCTGCTGTAAATATAAGGTCAAAAAGAATGAACCTGTGAAAAAACAGTAAAATGGTATAAATGGGTAGAAGGGAAGTTCTCTTATAAAATTTTTTGTTTTTGTTTGAATAATGCCCTTTTTTGACTATTCACAGGCTTCACAAAAGATGTCAGCACAGCAAGAAGCGGAAAGGCAAGCTATTCAGTCTTTGCGTCAGGGTGGTGCCTTAACAGGGAAGTTCGTGAGCACCACCTCGCTACCATCTGGTTTGCCCACAACAGCAGTTGAAGGAGAAACCAATACTCACAGCCACCCCTCGCTCCTTCAACATGTTCTGCTTCTAGAACAAGCTCGACAGCAAAACGCTTTGATAGCTGGTGAATAGTTTTTACTAAAGCCTTCACAATGTATTGGAAAATTTATGGCAAAGATTGAGAGAGACGGATCCCAAATTGATAATGATTGTCAGGTTTATAATTGTCATTTGTACGGTTTATGATGATTGTAATTCTTTTAAGAGCAATAAGATTTTTAAAGCATGCCTTGACAGATCTGATAGGGTAATCAATGCAGAATAATCGAAGAATCTGTGAGGTGAAGAATTGATTTGACAGGAAAAATGTATTTCCTGTGTATTTATTAATGATCAGTGTTGGAAGTAGATAAATTCTCTACATTACTGTTAGCATTTGAATATTTTATTACATTAGGTCCAATTTTACATTTTTTCTGTTGATTGGAGCACTTGCCATTTTGAAAAATTATTCAAAGTCAAAACCAACGAACTGTAGATGCTGGAAATCAGAAACCAAAACAGGAATTGCTGGAAAAACTCAGCAGGTCTGGCAGTATCTGTGGAGAGAAAGCAAAGTTACATTTTGGGTCTACTAACCTTTCTTCAGAAGTGACTATAGCTAGGAAAAGATTGGTTTCTATGCTAAAGTAGTGGTTGTGGGAGTGAGGAAGGAGTAAATGATAGGTGGAGATGGAACCCAGAGAAAGAGAAAAACAGTTAGGCAGACAAAGGAATGGGTAAAGGTCAGCCTGGGAGAATGAATAACTGCTAATGAAAACTTTTAGTGGCTAACAATGGGTTGTTTGTAGCCCATGTGATGACAAGGCCTAATGTGTGAGGTTTGGGATAAGAACATGGGAGAAGTGCTCAAGCTCTGAAATCGTTGAATTAGATATTGAGTCAAGAAGGCTATAGGGTCCTCATGCGGAAATGAGTTGTTGTTCTTCCAGCTTACGCTGAGCTTCACTGGAGCACTGCAGCAAGCCCAAAACAGAAATGTTGACCAGGGAGCCGGATGGTGTGTTCAACTGGAAAGCAACCGGAAGCTCAGGGTGACTTTTGCGGACAGAATATTGGTGTTTTGCAAAGCCATCTCCCAGTCTGCATTTTGTTTCGCCAACGTAGAGGAGACCGTACTATGAGCAGTGAATTTTGTAGACTAGATTGAGTGAAGTGCAGGTAAATCGCTGCTTCACCTGGAAAGCTATGTTGGGGCATTGAATAGTAAGGAGGGAGGAAGTAAATGGGCAGGCGTTACACCTTCTGTGATTGCATGGGAAGGTGCAGTTGGGGTATGGAGAGACATTGAGAGTGGAGGAGGAGTGGACCAAGATGTCCTGGAGGGAATGGTCCCTGTGGAAGGCTGACAAGAGAGGGGAAGTGACCGTGTGCCTGGTTGTGACATCTGATTAGAGGTGGCAGAAATGGCAGCTACTGATCCTTTGGATGTGGATGCTGATGGGATATTAGGTGAGGATGATAGGGACACTATCGCTGTGGGAGATGGGTCGGACATGGCTGAGGTTCCTGTCAACCATGGTGGTGGGGAATCTGCAGTTGAAGAAGAGAAGGGTGGACATTTTGGAGGTCCCCTTGTAGACGTTGGCACCAACAGAGCAGATGCAATGGACAGAGAAGGTCTGGGAGAATGGAATAGAACCTTTACAGGAAGAAGAGTGTGAGAATGTATTGTCAGAGGAACTGTGGGAGTTGGTGGGTTTGTAGCGGATTTCAGTGGCCAACCTATCCCCAGAAATCAAAACAGATATCAAGGAAGAGAGGAGTCAAATATGGACCAGGTGAAAGTGAGAGCAAGGTGGAAAATTGGAAGTGAAATTGATAAACTTTTCCAATTCTGGACGAGAGAGGGAAGCAGCATCGATGATGTCATCAGTGTTCCGGAGAACGAGTTGTGGATGGGGCCGCATTAGGACTTGAACGAGGAATATTCCACATGCCCCACAGTGAGACAGGCATAACTGGACCCTGTGTGGAAACCAATGGCCACCCTTTGACCTGAAGAAAGTGGGAGGAGTTAAAGGAGATCTTGTTCAAAATAAGGACAGGCTTGAACAGGCGGAGGAGGGTGGAGGTGGATGGGGGCGGTTCAGGCTTTTTTTTAAAGAAAGATGTACATCCTGAGGCGGGGTGGATGTGTAAAAGGAATTGCATATCCATGGTAAAGAAGGGGCACCTGGAGCCCTCAAACTGGACATTATGAAACTGATTGCATCGGAAGAATCGTGGATGTAAGTTGGAAGGGTCTGGACAAGGGCAGGAAAAAGTCAAATCAAGGTAGAAAAAGATGGGTCTGCCTAGGCAATGCTGTTTGTGGATTTTGGGACGGAGGTAGAAGCGGACTATATAGGAATAGGAGGACTTTAGAGTTAATGAGGGGAGATTACCGAATGAAATGAGATTAGTATAGCATTGTGGACACAATGGCCTGGTACTCCGTGGCTGGGTCATATTCCGGGGGTGGAGATTAGAGAAGGTAACTGAAAGCTGGCGCTCAGTCTCTGCAAAGTAGGAGTCAGTGCACTAAAACAACAGCACCAGCCTTGTTGGCAGTCTTGATTACAAAGTCAGAATTGGATCTGAGACCACTTTGCCTTGGCTCAAAGTAAAAATTGTTCTATACGCGGGTCATAATTTTTTTTCAGAATCCCTACAGTGTGGAAACAGGCCCTTTGGCCCAACAGGTCCACACCGACCCTTGGAGCATCCCACCCAGACCCATCCCCTGATAACCCACCTAATCTACACATCCCTGAACACTATGGGCAATTTAGCATGGCCAATCCACCTAACCTGCTCATCTTTGGACAGTGGGAGGAAATCGGAGCTCCCGGAGGAAACCCATGCAGACATGGGGAGAATGTGCAAACTCCACACAGATAGTCGCCCAAGGGTGGAATCGAACCCAGGTCCCTGGCGTTGTATAGTGAATAGTTAGTTGTCTGTCTCCTTCTAGAAACAAACCAATATTATGAGCTATTTCAAATCTTGGCATTTCAGTTTTAATTCATTCAATTATTTCAGTCGTATTCCTACCTTAATTTTGGAGGAAGTTTTAATATTAAGTTATAATATTAAACTGGAATATTAATTCTGCTTTTGGCTGGAAAATGTTTCTTTTCTGTCTGAGGAGTTTTAAATGGTAGTTCAGATGACCCTCTGCCAAATATCATTTCAAATTCAACTAAATGCTAATTGGCATCTACTGTATGTTCAGCTATTTCAGACTATGGACACAGTGTAAATCTGAAGAAACTATCCTCCATTATTAAATTAACACACATGACTACAAGCAATTCATTGATTAATCGTTGTCATCTTGCAATGAAATATACTAACTATTAAATTATATAGTCTTGTTTTACAGGAACTTGCAATAGTTAACTTATTTCACTATTATAAATCAAAACCTTTATGGCTACAACACTGCTGCGAATGAAGTCCTATGTAATAGTAGAAACATTACATCTTGTTAGTGAACTCATACCTACAGGGCAATTTGCTTCTTAAAAGATCACGTGCAAAGGTTGAGCGTTTAAGTCCAAAATTGTTGAGTGCATCCACTTAGCTAAATGATTCTATAGGGTTTTAAAACATTCTAACTGTGAAAAGATTTAATGAATGGTTATAGCTATATGTTTAGAGTTGTGAGAAAAAAAATAGTTAAGGTTTTTCTTCTTCTGCTAATTAATTTGGTTTTATTAAAAGAAATATTGTTCTTTCAAGTAGTATAAGAGCTGTTAATTTGTTTGGACTTTTGCCTATGTTGTTACAAGCTCTGGAAATAGGGAAACAATGTACAGATACTACTTCTCATATTTTACAAAATTGTAAAGGAGCATGATTTATTATTCGTGTTTTTTGGTCATGCTTCACTCATTTGAACATTTTGCAATGATTGATTTTATTTCTGAAGTTAAAAGTGAAGCTGTACACTTCTCATAAATTTATCTATCAGTACCTAGAATATTACAGAATTGTTCATGGACAATATTCAAATGTGAAAACGTAGGCAAAGATCAACAGTAATATTCTTGTAACATTTACTACTCAGTGCCTGTCCATGCACAATCACCTTTGGTGAAAGGAGAGAGAGTTTCCACCAATCTTCGAACGGTAAACAAGTTGCCTCGGCACCGCCCGCTAAGTCGTACCCAATCAGCTCCTCTGCCCCAGAGTCCACAGGCTTTGCAGCAACTAGTGATGCAGCAACAACACCAACAGTTCTTAGAGAAACAGAAACAGTACCAACAACAAATCCAGCTTAAGGTAAGCGAACAAAGAAAACTGAAAAGTGACCACTTGCAACTCAAACACCTTCAGAATCTACAATGTACGATTAAAACGTTTACTTTTCAATCTCGCTTTTTTTAGGCAAAGATTTGGATGCTTTATCATAATGTTCCTATGATACAAGGCAAAATTGAAGAATGGGATAACAAGGTTTATATGTACATATATTCTAGTAAGAACCATCTAGTAGTATGCAACAGCTTACATTCATATAGTTTCTTTCATGTCTTCACAATTATCAGTGCTATAGGTCAGAAGAAATTTTGTCTATCGTGCCTGTGCCCTCTCTGTGAATGAGCTATCCATTTAATTCCACTCCCTTGCATAATCCTGTTCCTCTGTAGTTGAAGGCAAAAGCTATCCCTGAACAGCTCAAAAACTAGTTAATTACTTTTGGAGTGTACTTGTGCTGTGGGCAAATATGACAGACAATTTCCATATCATGAAGTTTCACAATTAGTGTATGGTGTGCAATTTTGGGGGTCTTGCCTAATGAAAGATTTGCTTGCCATAAAAGAAGTGCAATGAAAGTTCACCAAACTAATTCTTTGGATGGAGGGATTGTCTTTTGAGGAACGTTTAAGTGTGCTATATTCTCAAGTTGAGAAGAATTAAAACATGCATGAGTAGGGTGGATACCTTAGCTTAGGAGTGGGGAACTGAAATCAGGAGACACAGTCTCAAAATAGCAGGCAGGCCATTTAGGACTGAGATAAGGTGGAATTATTTCATTTGGAGTGGTGAATTTTGGAATTCTCTGCACTATAACGCTGCTGAGTCTTAGTTGTTGAGGATATTTAAGATATAAATTTAACACATTTCTGCATATCAAAAGTATCAAGGGTGAGGAAATAGTACAGGAGATTGGTGTTGAAGTGGAGACCAATCATGATCTCATTCAATGACAAAGCAAACTTAAAGGGCTGAATGGCTGACTCTTCTTATTTCTTATGTTTCATACGAAGTAACCAGGTTGGTGAATACACAGTCAGCTTCGGGTATTGATATTAGGCGTGGAGGTAATCCTTATGCTTTGAAAAATTGTGTTGGAATATTTTATGTACATCTGAGCAGTCAAACCTTAGTTTAATGTGTTATCTAAAAGGTGGTAACTCTAACAGTACAACATACGTTGGGTATTAGATTAAAAATGCACAGACACTATTAGGCATTCAGGTCCTGGAGTTTCGAATTATAATCTTCTGAGAGATGAGTACTTCGAGCCAAACTGATGTATAATATGTATAGTTGGATATTTTGATGGATACTTTAGAAATATTTTAATTTTAAAAAGTACACAGGAAGACCTTATGAAAACAAAGGGTTCAGAAAACATTTACAAGGATGTTGCTACGGTTGGAGGATTTGTGCTATAGGGACGGTCTGAATAGGCTAGGGCTATTTTCCCTGGAACGTCAGAGGCTGAGGGGTGTCCTTATAGAGGTTTATAAAATCACGAGGGGCACTCTTAGGATGAAAAGCCAAGGTTGTGTCTTCAGGATGGGGGAGTCTGAAAGTAGAGGGCATGGGTTTAAGGTAAGAGGAGAAAGATTTAAGAGGATCTAAGAGTCACCTTTTTCACGCAGAGGGTGGTGCATGTATGGAACAAGCTGCCAGAGGAAGTGGTGGAGACTGGTACAATGTCAACATTTAAAGGCATCTGGATGGGTATATCAATAGGAAGGGTTTAGCGGGATATGGGCCAAATGCTGGCAAATGAGATTAGTTTAATTTAGGATATCTGGTTGACATGGACAAGTTGGACTGAAGGATCTGTTTCTGTGCTGTACAACTTTGACTGTATGACTCTAAGTGGGATTTGAGATAAATGATTACTGCAAAAATGAAAACTTGCTTTAAGTAGAGATGTCAGAAGATAAATTCTACAATGACTTGGATGGACTTGAATGGAAAAATTAAAAGAGAAAGCTGTTAAATCCTAAAGAGAAATTGGTCAAAAGACTAAGGAAAATTAGTTATAAATGCCCACAGTTGAATACTTGAACAATTTGAACACATGAAGGTATGCAGAATATCATAGAATTAGAGAAACCTCGGCATAGAAGGCAGTCTTCCATCAACTGAAATTCAGTTTTCTGATTTACCTCTTCATCACTTTGCCCTACTCTTTATGTAATTTCATGCTTTTCTGATATCCATTTTTCTACAAACTTTGATTGTCTCACTCGCTGAGCTGGTTTCTTTAGTTTGCAGATGTTTCATTACCCTGCTGGGTAACATCGTCAGTGCAGCCTCTGATAAAGCGTTGTTGTATTTTCCCACTTGCTATTTAAACCCTGGGGTCCGTTGGAGTTGATTACCTCATTTCCAGTTTTTCTTTGCAGTGGTGCATATATAGGGTCTAATTCTACATGTTTATTGATGGCCTTCTTGGTGGAAAGCCAAGCCTCTAGGAATTCCCATGCTTGTCTCTGTTTGGCTTGTCCTAGGATCCTGACGTCGTCCCAATCGAACTGGTGGACTTCCTTGTCTGTGTGTATGGAGACAAGTGAGTATTGGTCATGTCTTTTTGTTGTTAGTTGGTGTTCATGTATTCTCATAGCCAGTTTTCTTCCTGTCTGTCCAATGTAATGTTTGTCGCAGTCCTTACATGGAATCTTGTATATTATGTTGGTTCCGTCCATAATGGGTAAGGAGTCTTTGGTTCTTGTTAGCAGTTGGCTTAAGGTTGATGTAGGTTTGTGTGCCACTCTGATGCCCAGTGGCCATAGGAGTCTGTGGTCAGTTCAGATGTGTTCTTGATGTATGGTAACGTGGCAAACGTGCCGGGGTGCACTGTATCTTCCTGTTGTTGTTTGTATGACAGGCATCGTTGGACCCAGCTGTTGGGTATCCGTTGCCCCTAAATACTTGGTTGAGGTATTCTTCTTCATTTAGGCGTAGTTCTGGGTTGCAGCTGTGTGTTGTGGCTCGTTTGAATAGTGTTTTCGCGCAATTCCGTTTGTGGGTGTTGGGGTGGCTACTGTTGAACTTTTGGACTTGATCCTTGTGTGTGGCCTTTCTGTATACTTTGGTCAGAAATTCCCCGTTGGCCCTGCATTCTACCATCACATCCAGGAACGGGAGCTGCTTGTTCTTTTCTTCCTCTCTGGTGAATTTGCCGGTGAAAATGTTGTTTGTAAATTGGTGTGTTTCTTCTAATTTAGTTCATTTGATGAAGATGAAAGTGTTGTCCACATATCAGATCCATAGTTTGTGTTGGATCTGTGGAAGGGCCATGCTTTCAAGTATCTGCATCACTGCTTCTGCTATTTGTCCAGAGATGGGTGATCCAACGGGGAATTTCTGACCAAAGTATACAGAAAGGTCACACACACGGATCAAGTCCTAAATTTGAACAGCAACCACCCCAACACCCACAAACAGAGTTGCGTGAAAACACTATTCAAACGAGCCACAACACACAGCTGCAACCCAGAACTACGCCAAAATGAAGAAGAATACCTCAACCAAGTATTTAGGAGCAACGGATACCCGAACAGCTGGGTCCGACGATGCCTGTCACACAAACAACAACAGGAAGATACAGTGCACCCCGACATGCTTGCCACATTACCATACATCAAGAGCATAACTGACCACAAGACTACTATGGCCACTAGGCATCAGAATGGCATACAAACCAGCATCAACCCTATGCCAACTACTAACAAGAACCAAAGACCCCTTACCCACTATGGACAGAACCAACGTAATATCCAAGATTCCATGCAAGGATTGCGACAGACAGGAAGAAAGCTGGCTATGGGAATACATGCAAACTAACGAGCAACAAAAAGACACAACCAATACTCGCTCGTCTCCATACACACGGACAAGGAGTACCACCAGTTCGATTGTGACAATGTCCGGATCCTAGGACAAGCCAAACAGAGACAAGCACGGGAATTCCTAGAGGCTTGGCTTTCCACCAAGAAGGTCATCAATAAACATGTAGAATTAGACCCTATATACGCACCACTGCAAAGAAAAACCGGAAATGAGGTAATCAATTCCAACGGACCCCAGAGTTTAAATAGCAAGCGGGAAAATACAACAATGCTTCATCGGAGGCTGCACTGAGGATGTTACCCAGCAGGGTAATGAAACGTCTGCAAACTTATGAACCAGCTTGGCGAGTGAACCAACCACAGCATCCACAACCCAAGCTACAAATTTACTGAAGAATATTTGATTGTCTCAGCTTCAGTAACCCCTTCTTGAATGAGATGCAATGATCCTTAAATCCACTTTTAAGATTAATCATGAACTTACTGTATATCCTAATCAGTAACAGTTTACTGAATAGTGAGTTATTTTTCACATTTTTTTCTGTTTAGTTTACTCTTAATCTACTTTACACCAATGAGAATAAACTTCATATTTGGCTGTGCTCTAATTTATGAATGTGTGTTAATAGCTTTGTTTGTGTGTGAATGCCTGCTGTAGATGCTTTCCAAGTCGAGTGAATCACCTCGGCAGCCTCCAAGTCACCCTGAGGAGACTGAAGAAGAGCTGTGTGAGCAACAAGACATGCAGGAAGATCAGGCACCTCCAAGTAGCAGCAGTATCAACTCTGGAGGAAGTGAAGCAACAAATGAAGTTCTTGAACAGGATACAATGCAGGTGAAGGATGAGCCACCAGATAGTGAAGAGGAAGATCAACTAGAAGATCAGAAAGAAGGTGAAGAACAACTTCCACATTTTAATCAGGTAATCCCAGTTCTTTGCTACTTTTCATCTTATACCTACTGTGACAAAAGTGGTCTCAGTCAATGATTTTCAAGCTATCCACTTGAGTTTTCTGGTTTTGTTTGTTACTTTTTCCCTTTTAATATATGAAAACAATTTTATCATCTGTGTGTGCTTCAACTTTTTAAAACAGTCAAAGGTGAAAAATGTCAATCTGAGTTGAACTAAAATATAATTTAATTTTAGAAATCACAATAGAATTGTGTTTCCTTAACTCTCAAATGCTTTTGGGGCTTTAATACTTGGTTAATAAATCTGCTGAGAGGGTTGAATGAAAAAGTTCTGAGGAAGGGTCACCAGATCTGAAACGTTAACTCTGATTTTTTACTTCACAGATGTTGCCAGACCTACTGAGCTTTTCCAGCAACTGGTTTTGTTGTGGGTTGATTGAAAAGCCTCTTTAAATTAAAAACAATACATAAGTGGAGCATGTTTTTCTTGCTTTTGTTTTAGAATGTTAAGTCTTAAGTGCAGACCATTAAGACAATTGTTATGAACAATTAAGGAACTGTGCAATTGTAAATCTTCACTAACTTTTGTTTATATATACAACAAAAAATTATAAACTTAAAAGTAACATGGAGTAACTATTTGTTTTGTTTTTGCTTTTGCAAGTATTTTGTCTGCTTTTTGATATAACTGCATGTTTTCATTTACAGTGAGTTTAAGACTTACAGCACATCTTGCATACAAGTAGTATCACTGAAGACTGAGCCAATTATAAGTTCAGACTTCTTTATCGGGTAAATTTCCTGTAGCAATACCAACAGCAGGTACAAACGGAACACTCTGGAAGGCAGTAAAGCTTAATAAGTCACAGAGTACTGCAACAGATACTGTTCTGTATTTGTAAAATCTTCCATCCTGTCCTGTTTCGACACTATTGCCTTTGTAATTTATTACCACTCTACTTTAATTAGTTTGTACAGTTTGGATTACTTGTTACTTTGGTTAGACAGTCGGCATGTGGCTCTTATACCTACCTTGTTATTCCAGCCGTTTGGTTTGTCTCCAGCACTGTTTTATTTTTATTTTTTGTAATTATCTCTCTGCCTCATTTAATCAGATCATAGGTCATCCCTTCACTTGCTATTCAGCTGGTGACACTTTACTCATACTGTCTGATGCTTTTAATCACCTGCAGAGACTTGTTGTTTGGCCTGTTGACACTCCATTTGTGCAATCTTTTGATCTCTCTGCCTATAAATTCTGTGCCTGTGTGTTTTCCTTCACTTCACCCGATGAAGGAGCAGCGCTCCAAAAGCTTGTGATTGCAAATAAACCTGTTGGATTATAACCAGGTGTCATTTGACTTCTGACCTTGTCCACCCCAGTCCAACACTGGCACCTCCGCATCATGAGATATTGTGAGCAACGTGTCTCCTAATCTTCTTAATAGTGATGTTGGGAGTATAACAGAATTTTTTTTAAACTTCAAGAACTTACTTGCTTGTACCAAAACAGAAATATGCAGGAGTTACTTTCAAACTTTAATGTGGAATGTGAGCAAATTTCAGAAGTATCCTTTCACTCCTGTGGATTTTACAGGAAGTAACAACTTCCATTTGAAATAAAATGCGAGTTTAGCCTTGCTTAACTTTACAAGAACTTCCTCATATAAGGCTGTACTGTCAGTAGCTTATCTGTTGAAATAATAAATCCAAAGTAATCCTAACTAAGGTTTATTATTAATATTAATCTCTAATAATATTGTTCTGTAAAGTGAGTTTACATTTTCTCAACATTGTGAAAGATGCCAACAAGACCAAATCTCTTCTTGTAAAGTCATCAAATGGTACTAAACAGTGCTATTTGCTGTTACAGCACCCCAATCCATTATTACTTGTAATGGGTCTTGATCCGTTCATTAACCCAAACATTACAAGTTATTCGCAGCATAGCAACCGATCATTCAGACCAATAAGTCCATATTAGTGTGTTTATACTCCACATAAACCTCCTTCCAGTCTTGATTTTTGAACCCTGTACTGTTCTGCTCCTTTCTTCCTCATGTACTTTTTCTAGTACATCAATGTTATTTGTCTCAGCTATTCTATGTGCTAGTGAGTTCCATGTTCTCACCATTCACTGGATAATTTCAAGAGTACAAAAGTCAATACATTTCAAAATTACTTCATTGACTGAAAAAGCACTTCTAAGATGTATTAATAGTTATGAAAGGCACTGTAATAACACAAATTTTTCTTAAAGATGTTTATCCTGTGTTTCAACTGTTATTTGATTACACATATTTACAGCTTGTGGTTCTGATCTCCCGTGCAAGGAGAAGTTTATTCCCCGCTATGTTTAGCTGATTAAACCCTTCAATAACCTCTGTTTTAGAGAAATGTCTCTGTCTGTTCAGTCGTTCCCAATGAATATAACCCCTCAGTTCTGGTTTCATTCTAGTAGTTCTTTTATGCACTACTCCAATTCCCTGCTTGATAAAAGTTTGAGGATTGAATCTTGGGTAGATGGAAATTTTGTTTGGAAGTAATTTTAGTGCAGAATTAAGTTACATTTAAGTAGGATGTTCAATGTAGTGTTATCATTGGACAAGTAAATAGCTACAATCAGTTTTGCAACATGAAACATATAATAGAACTTCCAAAGGAGACCTCAAACAGAAATGGCACAATGAGTTCTACAACTGTTTTTGTGCAGGCTGAAAACTAGTTTATTCTTTGGCCTCCTTTTTTAAAAACAAAAATGCTTTTAATTTTTTTTCTTGCTGTGTCTAGTTCCATAGCATGATCTAAATTTTATATTTTGTTACAGAATATTTTTTCAGTATATACGGGTAATTTCTGGACTATACCAGTCAATATGTTTCAAAATTACTTAATTGACTGCATAAGCACTTTTAAGTTAAATATGATGGGAATCATATTAATGGGAAATGAACTATACTATGAGAGAAAAAAATGTATGTAGATTGGTATGATTGGTAAATTGGCCAAATGAAATGAAGTAAAGGCAAGGAACATAAAGACTTGTTGAGCCTAACAGCCCATTTCTGTGCTGTATGATCTGGTGAAACACTTGAGCTTCTTAATTCAAAAGGTTGTAGGTTCAAACCCGTCTCCAGTACTCAAGCTGAAAACATAAGCTTATTTCTCCGTGTAGCACTGAAGGCTTGTTTTATTGTTGAAACTGTTGGGTTTTTTTTAAAATCAATGATCAAACAGTTTGTTAAAGTGAACATAAAGAATCCAATGCAATTTTTTAATGAACCGTTCAACCACTGAGCATCACAGCAGAGAAGGTGAACTTAGGGATCTTTGGGATTTTTTATGCTCTTTCTTAGGATGCAAATGTTGCTGGCAAGCCCAATATTTGTCTCATCCCTGTTTTGCATCAGTAGTATTATGACAGCATTCAGTTATGTTAGAATAGTCCTGTTTGTCTGGCCGGAGAGGTTTTTTGCCCTTCCTGTGCAGAAGTGCTACATATGGCCCCAAATTAGCACTGTTGGTTATTCTTGATATGTTGAAGTGCAAGTGCAAATTGATGTTCGATAGCGAATTATACTCTATTGCAGTAGCTGTCATAGTTCTGCATTTTATGCATATGTGTTCCAGATTTCAGATGCAAAATTTAAAGAAGACATTTAGTGCTGCAAAATGATAGCATAAACATATGGGGAAATGTACATTTTAGTTAAAGAAAATTGACTTTTTCAAATCATTTGTTCATCATTAAGCGAGTGAATTCAAGAAAATAAAATTAAAAGGCATGATTACAGAGAAAACATTGATCTTACTGCAAAAGAACAGTTGAGAATTTGATTGAGCTGGTTACTATACTTCCAGAAACAATTGAATTTACAGTTGCTTTTATAAAGTATAAAGAGAGTCTAATCCAATCATTAAATTCCTGAGTTTTTAAAGAAGTACCATCTAGATTTCTGCTAATTCAACTGAATTATTGAAAATAACTGCACTTGCGAAGGATTCACAGGCAGTGGGAGGCATAAAACATAATTTTAAAAGTAATCAAGACTGAGAGTAGGCTTAACACCTCAATATCAGTGGTAAGGAAAACCTGGAAAATCATAGCTCAATAAGTAATCATAATTTGGATTCAGGTAGGTTCCAGGGACACTCTAATTATGAATATCGGCCAAGTATTGAAAGTATGAGGTTGCACAAGTACAAGGCTGAAGCATTCACAGCCAGTTGCTGTCAGTTGTGTCAAATGGATGACACGCGATGGTTACCTCCCGAGAAGGCACTATCGAATCCAGTCTTCAGCTCCAGAAGTAGCTGCACCTCCAGCAAAACTATTCCAGTAAGCTACAACACTGCCACCTACCTGGTAAAGTGGAAAATTTCAAAGTTATGTCCTGTCCGCAAAAATCAGGATAAATTTGAACTGGTCAGTTACCATGTTATTGGTCTCCTGTCATTGACCAGTCGTGTTTCACAAGGATTGATGCTGGGTCCACTTTTGTTTCTCATTTATATAAATGTTTAGATGAGAATATAGAAGGCATGGTTCATAAGTTTGCGGATGACACCGAGATTGGTGGCATAGTGGATAGAGAAGAACGTTATCTAAGATTGCAAAGAGATCTTGATCAGTTGGGTCAATGAGCTGAAGAGTGGCAGATGGAGTTTAATTTGGATAAATGCGAGGTATTGCATTTTGGTAAAACAAACAATGGCAGGACTTGTACAGTTAAAACTAGGGCCTTGGGTAGTGTTGTAGAACACAGAGACTAAGGGATTCAGGTGAATAATTCATTGAAGTTTGCCTCACATATAAATAGGATGGGTAAGAAGTCATTTAGCATGCTTGCCTTTATTGTTCAGACTTTTAAGTGTAGGAGTTGGGACAGCATGTTGAGGTTTTGCAGGACTTTGGTGAGGCCTCTGCTGGACTATTGTGTCCAGTTCTGGTTGCCCTGTTACAGGAATGATATTATTAAGCTGGAGAGCGTTCAGACAAGATTTTCCAGG